CATAAATAAATGGGGGATGTGCAAGACGAAGGGGAAGCCAAAGAGGAAGACGAATGCGGCTGTTAACGTTTTGACGCGCTTGAACTTTTTTTTTTGCCTCGACTAGCTGTTTTTACACGGAAAATCTGTTTCAAACTTGAGAGAAAAAAAAAACTTTAAGACTTTGTTATAACAAAAACAACCAATACCGAGTATGCACTATAGCAATAGTGCACGCTAACGAGGTATAGAACGAGGTGTTATATATTCGATTTGTGATCAATAAAATATCAAATTGCTATATGAAGAAATCGGTTCTGCGGTTTAGGTAATTTTGTGGGTCCAGACATAAAAAAAAACACACTAATAATAATATAGTAAAAAACTAGCTAAAAAAGTCAAACCGCAATAATATTCTACCGCGATAACCAAAAAACGAACAAAGGCTAAACTTGTAAAGTATAACGGATTCAAGTCATTCGACGGTTTTGACAATTAACCGTCATCCATATTGCAAACATTTCCCTAAAAAAATTTAACCATATATACCGTGAGTTTACATTTTAAAATGTGTTCTATACAATTTTACCGGAACCTTCTCGGTAAAAGCATTTTAGCCGAACAGTATCATTTGAAAGATTATCCTTTTTTTTTTACCAGCCCTCGGCCAATACATTTGCATTTTTTTTTTTACAAAGTTCAAGAATTATTGTCGAAACGATCCGATCAAGACTATATTATAGCGGTCTTCTTACCTATACGTTAAAAGGATCTAGCTTTAGCCCGGAGACAAATGATTCCATCCGGTTTATGTTTTATTAGTTTTACATAAAAAAAAAAAAGGTCGTATTATGCGAATATTGTCAAAAAGCTTGTAGTTTAAAACGGGTCAACTCAAACGAAAACCCTAAGCAAGTACATGTAATATATTATTATGCAAATCGGTTTGGACGACGAGTACCTAAGTTGTCAACCCGTGGCAGAACAAATAGGGTTTTCGACGAATGCGCGTTTGATGTTTTTACAAATTGGTAAACAAAAAAATGAACTGTATTGTCATTGGCGGATATAAATTTATGAGTGGGTTTTGGGAAACTTAAAACCTTAAGCAAACCTTAAAGGGCAACCAGGGAAAGTGCCAAATTTTATACAAATAAAAACTAAACCAAGAAGACATATTCTGAACCGAACAGATTTAAAAAAAAAAAAAAATATTGTTATAAAGTAAAACATCTTCTCAATGAAGGCCGGTTTTTTTTATTTCTGTTTTCAACATTTTACTATTTTTTACAGAATATATTTTTCTGATAGCTAAATAAAAAATCTCAGGTTTCGCCCTCATAGAGAAAATAGTAAGCTTCGCATGAAAACAACAACGTCTCTAAATTAGACCTGTTCGACAAATCTGTCGCTAGTAAACAAATAAGTGTAGGTATTTTGAAAAAGGCGTTAATTTCAAGTTTTACATAGTATATCAAACCCACTTAAATATCCGGCAATGTATATTGTTTTTTTTTTTTTTTAAAGTAAAATGGCGAACAACTACCAGAACTCGGTATACAGAACGTTGATGTTGTTTTTTTTCAATTGATCGTCACGGTAATTCGGTTAGGTACACCGTACGGTAACCGTACATAATAATATATATATATATAACGGGAAAAATTGATGTAATTGATATATTTTTACACTGGCCCGGTCGGGGTAGAACTAAGATATTTTATTTTGGTAAAAAAAAAAAAAAATTCAATTAAATCAAATTAAAAACACCGTTCTCGAGGGTTTTCAATTTATTTTCGAAATAGACAAAAATGTCGCCGAGTCACGGCTACGTGGGCAAGTCGGCTTGCGCTGGCAGTCACGTCTTGGCTAGCCAAAACCAATCACACACACACACATTGCAGATGAGTAATAATTATTTTGATAACTATTGTTGTATTATTGCAGTTGTACCAAATTGTCGGCCCCGGGCAAAAGTTACAAAAGGTACAACGGCTAAGGTTTGGTCGCCATCGGCGGTGACTACAAAAAAATAACGAGTAAGTCGAGTAAGCGTTTTTTCGGCGCTTTAAACGAGCTTGTAATGTACCTAGCTATTATTTTTCGGGGTTTTTTTTCCTAAAAAAATATTCTCAGCCCTTAAGACCGTGTGTGTAACCTGTTGGCGACCTGCCCCCTGCCCCCCCCCCAAAAAAAACATACTCGACAAGGCTCGAGTAAACATTGTCAGCGGATTATCATCATATTGTATTTCACAGAACGTGTGCACTATCCGCGGTAAACATGTGCACTGTGTACGTTTTCCAATTAACACCCAACGCGTACTAGGTAGGTATATCCGTTAAAATTAAAAAAAAAATAGCACCCCCCCCCCCTTGCCCCGGTACACTCTCCTGTGCTGTGTTTACACAAAAGTCGATTTTTCTCGTTAAAAAAAAAAACCTTTAACGTTCGCGTGTCGTGTTGTTGCGTTGTTTTCGATGATTTTTTTTTTAATATGTTGTTGGCTTTGCCGAGGGTTTTTTTTTTATTTGGTTGCTTTTTTTCTGTTCAAGTTCACAAAAATTAAAAAAAAACGGATAAATCGGATTAGCGGCGCGTGACTTGGAACCGACACGTCAGTGACAATATTGTTTAATATATTATGATTTATCGCCACACGATACTTTATTATATAGTATTTTGTATATTTTAATAAACAAGTTTTGGACAGCAACAGCAAGACTTAAGACATAATAAGACTTGTGTATTTTTTTTCGGTTTTCGGTTTCGGTTTCTTCAAAAAAATACGGTACTGACCTAACCGCTGTCGTCGACAACCCACGTCGGTAAAATTAATATTTTCAAAGTCGCGTTGTAATCTCCTTCGTTTGATTATTATTTATTTTTACCTTTTATAAGCTTAATCGAAAAGCTAAAAGAAAAAGTACATTTTTCCTCACACCCGCCCCGCCGTCTATACGTTCTTTTAGGTTTTTCCCCTTTGAAAAATCTCAACGTTTTAATATTATTATTATTATTTTTCCTTTTTTTTTTTAATTATATCTGTAACGGACGACGACGAGGATTTTTCCACTCTAACCCGATAAGACAATTGTTATTATGGTAATTAGGCGAACACAGGTAAAGTGACTGTCCGTTTTTGGCCAAAGTGTTTTTGAAATTAAGCCGTCGACAAACAATCGGATTAAACGATATTATTCTGGTCGTCGTTGTTCCCACTTTTTACCAACCCTCGACTCAGAGTTTTCAATGCGGTTAAACAAACGCTAATATGGAGTCGGCCCGGATTATTGTATATGCGGTGTTTTACATCAACAACGTCGTTGTTGACAAAGGTCTGTACGCATAATATAATATAGGAACAGCTTATATAGTTTTGTTCACTTACACCACCATAACCACCATAACCGCACCGGGGAATTAAAAATGTCTATACTTTAGCTGTCCGTAAATCCTCGCATGAAATACAATATATTATTTATATGTACACCTAACCAAACATAGGTAATATTCTTATCTATTCAAAAACCGTTAGATGTAGAACAAAATATTTAAAAACAAAAATTTAAACAGAGTATATCTATGTACATTACTAAAATTGTATAGGCGTACGAATCAACGCGATTGGGGTTTTAATTTTTGGCGGTGCTAATTAAATAAGTCTAGGGTCGCTAATTGTTTGTTGCTCGAAGAGTCATTTTTAATTGTATTGATTATTGTTGTTATATCGTCGTTTGGTTAACACCAAGTTAACAAAAGAAAGAAAGAAAAGAAACCGATTTTTTCGACATAAACGTTCGCTTAAATTTTCAAACTAGGTATCGAAAAAGTTTTTTGTGCGCTTTTGGGAAAGTTTAGGCTTTATTTTTTTTCTTAGAAAACGATTTGTTGTTTTTCGTCTGTTATGTATTTATGAATAAATTACCTAGAAACGAACGCATATACATCAATCTTAGTTTTTAATGAAAGTTTTGCGAAAATCGTCAAGACATAATATTCCAAATGGAAATAACGGAAGACAAAATATCATTGTCAAAGTTATTGCTCAAGAGATATTATTTCTTTAACCGGCGGCACGTCTTAATTATGCCAATTCAAAATTGTTCATAACAATCTATACTCGGAAACAATATATAATATTATATTTATTTAATGTCATAACATTAATTAGTACAAAATACAGCTATACAATTAATACCAATACAGTGAGCGATGCTGCAGTTTTCGGAGTTCTTAATATATAATAATTTATGCTAATTAAGTTGTAAATAATATTCTTCTTGATTGCGTGTACAAACGCATAAACTTAACAATATTGTAAAATGTTAGTAAGTAAGAACCGGTATTAACTACAGTGGACTTGAAGTACTCAAGTCCGCCGGCGTGTCCTGGCGCTGTTATAAGACTTATATTATGTTAAATAGGATAGTGTAAAAATTAATTAAATTATTTTTTTAATCATATTACTATAATAATAGGTCGTCGCGGACTTTTTTACTATACGGCCAGGCTCGGTCAATGTTCGGACTCATATTTCATTTCTCGCCAAAAAATAAATTTAGGTATTTTGAAACCCTGGCTGCCATTTTATAAGTCTTAAGAAATGAATAATTATAAGTACTATTATAATAAATTAACGTTATTCTCAAGTCGAATCCGAACCGTAAAGTAAAAGTGAATATTTTTCACGCGAAACTCTATTATCATTAATATTGTTAAGTACTTAAGGTATATTAGTTAACATGTTAGTATAATAGAAAATAATTATATATTGTGTAGGTATCGAGCTCATTGGTAGAGATCAAAGAGATACTATAAAAACCCAAGTACAATTATTTTCAGAGATTTGTTGAAATCAAATGTATTAAACGTAACGCTAATTTTTTACAGTTTTTACAGGTGTATGTTAACCCTAGTGAGTAACTTTTAAGAATTCAATTATTATAAAGAAATAAGTCTGAATCCCAAGTCCCCTCGATGTTTGCCAATGAATATATATATATATTGAAAACGCTTACCCGGTGGTTTTGGCCGACGGCATAGACGAGGGTTCCATGTAACGCCAGCGTACTTGTAAGTGCAACATGCGGGGGGGGGGGGGTTTTTTCGCGGTTTTTTGATTATTTTCCAAAAAATTTTTTTTTTAAAACGATACCGATACACGTTTCCGGTTTCTTCTTCCCGCGGTTATCGAGGCGCGGTTATAAGACACACACACAGATAGAGATAAACACATGGAAACACACACAAATTGTAAAAATTATTGTCAATTTTTTTTATGGTAGCTGTTCGACGGTTTTCGTTCTTCTCTATCTTTGGCGAAGATTGGGGGAAAAAAACACGACTAAGACGCTGCTCGGAGAGAGGACCTAAGTGACGTACGGGCGGCCGCTTGCAACGATGGTAAGGGACTGCATTCCAGAAGCCGAACACACGAGGTACACGCGACGGCCGACGGTGTAATCTTAGTAGTTGCCGTCGCTCCCGTTAGGGCGGGCTCGCGCGGCAAACACACACACACACACTTAGATATACTGGTTTGGTGTTTATTTTTTTGTTTTATTATTATTATTATATATTATACACCTGTATGGATTTATATTTTTTTATCCATCCACTCGTCCGTCTAACCGAGTAAAAACCAGTCGTCGCAGAGATTTGCACACTACATGTGTAGGTACATTATATTTTCATCTCGCATATATTATTATATACGATTTTATTACCCAAATATATATATATATATATAATAAGAGAATAATAATATTTTGCACCTGCTCCGGCTCGTTATACATACCTATACCATTGCCATGTACGTTTTTTATCTACCAGCAAATGGTGAGGGGGGGGGGCAAACAAGGCGAGTCGTGCTAGAATCTTATTCTGACTGTTTTGAAAACAAAAAACAATTAATGCTGTATTATGTTGACTGCGAAATGGATACAAAATTGGTGCAATAACCAGATAAGTCCAATTTTAAATATTTCTCAGCAGACATACAAAGCGGCGCCTTCAATTGTATCCGTTGTGTTATGTGATTTTTTTTTTAACCGAGAAAAGCCAGGTTGTTGGATTTATTTTGGAATTTAAAAAAAAAGTTTAACTCCAGATTTTTGAAATTATTTTATATTAAAATATAAACGAGGTACACATAGATTTACCATCAGTTCAACTTACACGAGGGTTAGGTTAGGTTTAAAAGTAGTTGGTTACCGACCAGTCAACGTTTTCAGCAAATTTTTCTTAACCATTTAAAGTCAATATTAACTATTTACTGAATATCGGCTAATACTGTGAAATTACATTTACTAAAATGTCTCAAAAACTGCAATAATTATTATTTTAACATAAGAAACGAGTGTCTCGTGCTGTTATTCTTTACGAACCCTCTGTATATATTATAAACCGTCTCATTTATGCAAAAAAAAATAAAACCAAGTACCTAATAAAGTAATCTGTGTACGTTCGATGACGGGTTTACGTTAATTACATTAACATTTTAACGTTACGACATGATCATGTTCGAGGCAATTTATTAATATTTTTTTTCACAAAACTTACAATGTTACCGTGAGAACTAGAATTTGCATATTATACACCTTATAAATGAGAATATCTCAATATTATTATTTCACCACACGCCTCGTTAGTACATTGCCTAAATACAACTATTGGTATCTAGGTATTCGATTTTCGTTTCCCGCAGCTCCTATGCAAAAGCATCCGCCGGTTGCAAAACATTTGGCACCGATCCAATCATCGATCTACCTATACTGTAACAAATTGTACTTGTTCTGTGTGCGACCTACGTTGACCTACAAGTGTTTTTCAAGTAGGTAAAATCTCTTTTACGAGAAACGCTTCCGTATGATGATCTTCGCAGAGATAGATATATTTTGGACCGGAAACGGTGGGGAAATCTTTATTGTAAATGTTGATTTTTTAAGCATTTTAAGAACGGATTTGCTGTTTTGGACATAAACACTATATCTTAGCAGCCCTTGTTGATTTTCCAGCCCATCATTTTTTTTTTTATTAATAGCTGTTATTACAATATTAAAATATACAAACAACAAATAGAAGAATACGAAATAACTAATATTATACTCTCGCTTTGTCTGCCTAAGATGATGTCTAAGTGGGTTTTTTTTTTTTTAATTGAATTAATCCAACAATTAACTTAACCGTTCTCACGGCACTTGGCATAGTTTTTTTTTTTTTGGTTTGTCGTTGTCTATCGTCACGCCATCCTTAAAACGAAAACTACATCATCATGCGGCGGCGGTCACCGATGTATACAAAATAATTACCATAATACCGCGTTTTCGACCGATAGATAATTGGACCATTATAAGAATATTGTTATACCAACGGGTACACACATTAATACAAACGGTCGGTACGTGGCTGGACGATAAAAAAATTAATACACCTGGTTGTGTGTTACTCGAGTTGGTTTGAATTTACTTTTATAGGTAGGTGTAGACCGTACTCAACAATAGTGTAATGTTCGGGTCATAAACTCGAAAAATGCGACCAAAAAACGATTAAAATTAAGAGAATTTTTCCCACCCCGAATAATGCTCGACCGTTGCAGAACAAATGGCCTGACAGATACTTGAGATTGTAAAAGTGAAGATTTAAAGTAATGTATGTACACAAATAAAACAGTAATGATTAAATAGAGCAACCGCACCGCTCAGAAGGAAATCAATTAAAGCAGTAATAATTTGGAACAGAGCGAGAATTAAGGATATTATTAAATGGAACAAGATCTAAAATAACATTACTGGGTTATTGGGAAACTAAAGAGAAGGACCCCGTTGGATGTGAGGGAAGGCCAATCGAGTAAAAAAAAAATAGAGAGAAGTCACTGATGACTTCCTCCCCAAGGCAGAACATTTTTATTTTAAACTTTAAGTTTATTTCACGACTTTATTAATTTTATTACAAACTTTTAATTTTATTCATTACTGAAAAAGCTATCAAAGTTAAGGAGACACGATAGGATAGAGATTTGGCTGGACCAATCAACAAGATGTGTGGCAGATAAGTTTTAGATTTTTTTTAAGAGACAAATTTTTAGCTGTAAGCATCGTGCAACCATTTGTTTTATTAATACTTATAGTGAAAACCATGTTGAATGTTGATGTACACGTGTGTTGATAATATTACAATATTAATGTCGCGACAATTATTATAAAATTATTAAATTCTTTCAATGGTATGTTGTGAAATTATTTGTTTTAAATCTAGCATTGATCTAAAATAGTACTCGAGATACAAATTGGGAACCATTTCGGCGATTTATTAAAACAAAAAACCCGTTAAACAAACCAAAAATGTTAAGCAACGTGTCGCGGCTTATGTGCGGTGGCACGAGTCATCTCTTTGAAAGTTTTAAAAGAGATTGGTCGGTTTCTTCGCCGTCTCGTCCATGAATAATATTAAAATACATCAACTCGATATTTATCTAGATCCCGGGGCCAGCGGTATTAAACTTTAAGCTGCAACAACGTTATCGTTATGGTCGTCGCCGAAAAAAATTAGGGTTTTCCCGGATAAAAATCATGTAAACAAGACAGTGACACCGTCTTAAACGTTTATTTCAACAGCGTTTCCAGTCAGCCCTCGAGTATGAAGACAAACTAAGACAATCTATCTGTCTGGATGTGCGTTTAACCATTCCAACGTCCTTTTACCCGTGCAAGCTGCTGGTGCTGGCTAATATGCAGCTTCAAAGACACTGTCGCTCGTGCTGTACATGTATATATAGGCGTACTGGACGTTTTTACATAGCCAATATACAACCGAAATGCGACTGTTAAACCGCAGAAAGGTCAGCACTCAGCATGATCTATATGCAATCATTTGCTCCACCCATTCGTTAGTTTCCCGTCTGTTTTTCGGCCTTTGCCGACGTTACTTAAATTTCTATTGCCGCCCTGACCGTCGCTATTTTTACCTTTTCCGGTGAAATGCCCAAACCACTTTAGTCCGGTCTCTTTTTTTTTTTTTATCTCCTTTGCGCGATACAAACGACAAACCTCCTTAACTTCCTCTTATATTTTATATTCATTCCCTATTTTATACCAGCATACTTTATTTTCTAGAACACCTTTATCTCCACATAACCGCTAATTGGTAGTTTTTTATCACACAAACATTAAGTATTATGAACATGTTTTTCTTATGTTTTATGCTAATATATATTTTATATATAACGATAATAGTTTTTATAATAATTTAATCATATTTAAACAACATTTTTGTTAAATATTGATTTTTAAACATGGATTTCAAACATTTTCAAAATATTTACAAACTTTTGACAACATTTTTGTTAAATATTAATATTTTTTTCCTATATGAGGTACATCATGGTACATTAATTTTTACAATTACATCCCCATTTATATAAAATATTTTTAAAAAAATCTATTTTTCCTCTCTCTAGTCTGTGCAACTGTCCTTTTTTTTTTGTCAAAATTATGCGGCGCACTATGGATTTGCACTAACAGCTACTATTGGATCATGAGAATACTCTGCTGGAATTGTGCGGATAGGAATATAGTCACGAATCCCGTTAACGTCTTGTGAACATAACGATATTATACCGTTTCGACTGTATCGGATTTAATTAAATCGTCGTTAAAACAAAGACCTAATATTATATTATACAGAATGATCGCAGGAGTTTTGATCATACACGCGTAACACACAGCAACGTTGTGTTAATCGTTTTAGCTGGTACATTATATTATATCAGCAAAAAGCCAAACATAACCCTAACGTCGTATAGCATCAATAAGAAACCATGCCGGTCTCTCTGAGAACTCACAAACGAATATATATGTACCTACCTCATAGCGATATCACCGTCGCGATACAATAGGAGGAGATTTATTAATTAACTTTGCCGAATCGTCTAAACGACTGACTTGGTTTGATGAAAATGTAAATTCACGTTAGGTATGCTATACCTACTATATATAGGTATGCATTTCAATATAAACTCTATTTCGTATATGATACTAACACATACTATAATATTATGTGTGCCTATTGTGCACGAGTCGCACTACTGCACAAGTCGACGAATCAACATATACAGTCAGTGTATATAATATTATATTGAAATATCAAAGTACGCGTGTACATCAGCCATACATATAGGTACCGTGTATCTCTTTGTATTTATAATAAATATACATATATATTTATTACAATGAGACACGAAACGCCGAGAGAGAAATTTTTTAATGACAATGGAAATCCGCCGCAGTGTTCGGTATATATATATATATATTATATTCCATCATTAAGAAGAAGAATAATAATCATCGACAAGACAATAATAATAATAATATGTATGAGATACTTGTCGCAGAGGTGACAACAA